ATGCGATGGAAGAGGCCTTTTAATCATTTATGATATTTTAGCTAAATGTAGAAACACTAACTTCTCGAAATAGAGTATAGTATGACAAGGCTCTTCCACTTCTTGTAAACTACTGTTTCTTTTAATTAATGCCATAACTTGGTTCTTTCCTGTTTATGACACATTATGGTGTTATTTTTCTCTTGTTTTATTGAGATCAATGTTTTCAAGTCTAAAACAGTTTGAACTTTTTTATAAACCCCAGGAGAAACATTTACTTGCATATAGAAGAATGTCTGCAATGGTTATTTCTTTAGAGAAGGCTGAAGGTTCCCAGAAACAAGCTTTTTGGGAATATTGTAGTCTGCCATTTTAAAATTCAGGGATGTGGCTTTGTGTTAACTTTGGTATTTTAGTCATGGAATACAAGAGAAAGGTAAGTGTCCCTTTAGGTAAATACAAGAGGAAGATAATTATAGCATTCAGAAGGTTATTATCAATCATCTTTTCTGAACAGTTTTAGGATTCATAGAAAATAAAATTTCTTAGACGGTTGTAAAAGCTAAAACCTGGAGTGGTGTTAATTATTTTAAATATCATGAATAGCTCAAGTGTGTCATTTTTCTTCATCTCATGGATAATATTTCATTTTACCATCAGGCTGCCCTGTATTCCCATGAAAAGTTCTACTGACATTTGGTGTGATAGTTTTAGTGTAGTGACAGCACTTACCATTCGTTAGTGTGGTAATTTTGGGGAATTTCTGTTGCCACCCTTGCTTCAGCGAAATAATATACATCCATGTCTACCTGGAATATGTTTCATTTGAATTGTAAAAATTTACTGTCAATCAGGCATCCTGCATTCCAATAAATAGTGTGAAGGCTATTTTCAGAACTCTGACAAGGATTGATTGAGGTATGGAGTGTAGCCATCTAATGGGTTAAAAGTAGTAGTTGAAGAAATACAAAATGTTTTTTAAATAATGGATAGGCCAAATTTTGAAATGGGTTAACAAATAATTAATTTTAGGATGGAATAATTTTTGAAATAATATTCTGTTTCTGATATTCAAGATTTGTGATAAAAAGAGACTCAGGAAAGATAATTGTACCTGCTATGGAAATATTTTTTGTCTGAAATATTTCTGTATATTAGCATTATTTCGGTTCAAAACTCATACAACAATTGTAACATTTAAAGTAATTTTGTTATTATTCATTAGAATTTTTAATTTAATGAAAATAATTTGTTTTTAATTACTCATATATAAAGAAATCAATCTAAAATTCATATAAATTATTTTATGCATGCTCAGAAGTTTTTAAGTTATAAATCTTGGATTTATGTAATTTAATATTATTATTTTCTTAAAAATTTATTTTGATTTATGTTTATCTTGTACATATATTTTCTAATGATTTCTTGTTTGGTTTTGTGGCTAATTTTTCTATGAACTATGATAAGGGATTTCAGAGGAGTTAAAAAATTTTCTTTTCAATCTTGCAAGGCCACTGAGTAACTCATTGACTAATTGTTTGTGTGCGTTTATTAGAAAACAAAAACAGAATTTGTAAGGATTTATTTGTATACTCTCATTATGCCAACTACCAATGTGGCTGCAAATGATTTTGTAGGTCTTGTCACTTATGGGATTAACCACAGTTTTATTATTTTAATGTTTTGCTAAGTGGAAAGAAAAATTATTCAACTTAGATTATTCCCTTCTTGGCTTAAAATTACATCACCTTGTAGTTTAACACATATTTAGTAACATTTGAATATTGTAAGACTTAGACCTGATCTGTCCTTACCTATTTTTGAAAAATGGAGATAGTCCAATCATGTGGACAGAGGTTTCTTTCGCTTTTTTGATTTGGAAACTTCCATATAAGCCACATGTATTTCTCTATAAAATCATTATGTTATGACTTAGAACTTGCCCTAAACATTAGAGGATATCGATTGCTTACTTCTAAAAACTGTAAGTCCACTGCACTACTTACCTAATGCTCACCCATTTATTTTAATACTCATAATGTTTGGTAATGGACATATTTGGTTGCTTCAATTAACATCATTTTAACTCATTAAAAAAAAAAATAATCAATTTGGCCTTCTATAAGTTCAAATGTTTAAATCAAGAGGTATACTAGATCTGGAAAAGTTGGGGATTTTTTTTTTTTTTTTTTTGAACCTAGAAAAGTTTGAAATAGTTAGGCAATTTAAAAAAAAACATTAAGTCAGGCATTTCACAAGTCTAGGTGATGCAAGTTTTAGTTTGCTCTATCTAATGATTCATCATTATTTGTCACAAATAGTTTATATAATTGTTTTATATGTGTGTGTGTATATATATATATATATATATATATATATAAAGTATACTTTCATATGTATATATACATGTAAATAAGTTTAAAATTCAGTATTACAGATGCTTCTATTGTTAGTTTTGAAGAAGTTGTTTAGGTATTTTTATTTCGTATAAAATAACAATTGTAAGCCTGGAGTGTCCTACACAATCTGAGATTTTCTGGATTAGTTATATTGTGGCTTTGGTTTGAAAAGGTTCTAACTAACAAATTTGCACAAATTGAGTTATCGCCCACAACAAGGTTATCTATTTCCCAAATGAATTTTAGTGCCTTCAGTTAACAAGTAAAGAAACTACCAGTGTGACTAATTCTAACTGCTGACAAGTTTTGAAAGAAATTGGTTTGAGAAGGTTCCAACTGCAATACGCTACTTTATTTATAGTTATTTTAGTGAGTGTTATATAAAATTATATTATTATTTTTTTTTTTTAGTAAAGATCTGTTTTTTGTATATAACATTTGAAACGATATATGTGATATTTTACATAATTTTTAGATAACTGCAAAAAAATATATACTAAAATTTTAGGAGATAAAAAATCTAAATAAAAAATCTAGTGTAAACAAACAAATTTGACATATTTATGTTAGGTTTTAGATCATTAGATGATAGATTTTTTTTATTTAGTTTATTCTGGTCTTGTTTCTGAAAAAAAAAACAACATATTTCTGTCCTTATCCTTTCCTTTAATTTTTAACTGCATGGGCAATGGTTTAAAATTAGAGTATTGCTTTTGAAATTAATAATTTTCTATTTTATTTAACAAAAAAAAATATAAAATAATTTAATAAATCAATATAAAAAAAGAGAGAGAGAACAAAATATTTTTATTTACTTCGGCTTTTCGATTCTACATACTATGAAACTTAAAACCTCAAGTTTTAGAGGATTTTATATTTTTTTTCTTAGCCGATTTAAGATTCAAGGACATTAAAAAAAAAAAATTAACACAAAAACTGTGTAACGTGAATAATGGATTTTTATATTATATTTTTGTGTTCTAGTGTGTTATTATATGTATAGACTATGTATTCATTAATTGTTAAACGCAAATTTTGAGAAGAGTTTCTTCTAGGTTGATCAAAAAGATTTATTATCGAAAACATTCTGGAATGACAAAGTTCTAACTATAAAATTTCTATATTCAAAATGATATTAAGAAATTGACGAATACAAAAATAAATTCATAGGTTCAAGGTATTGTACAAACAAAATTGTTAGTCTCAGTAACAAAATATTCATATTACAGTAAATTGCAACTTTTAAGCTCTGTTTCTCAAATTAATAGTAAATGTGGTTAGAACCTATCCAAACCAAGGCCAGGATATGTGAGATGTCATTTCTCAACAATAAATAAAGCTCCATCACTGATTTTTTATCTTGTATTCCAGATAAGTAAAAGTATTTGCTCGAGCGATAAGAGAGGCGATTAAGTTTTTATTCATAAAATTCATAAAAAATTATATTATTTTTATTATACCTCCAGTATTTTGAATTACATTATTTAAAATTGTACTACTTTTTTTCGAATAGTGATTATTAATAAAAATCTGTTTAGTAAAATATAATCAATAGTCAAACATTTTTTATTTTATTTTGCTTCATGAAAAAAGGCATATCTATCAACACTAAAATACATACTTGCAAATAAAGTAATTTAATTCATATCATATCTTGTCCTACTTTAACTATTTTGATGACATTGAATTTTTCAAATAAGTGATCTAGAAAAGTCAAGGAATTCACAAATAAATTTCAATAGGTACAGTGTAACATTCTATAAAGCTTTTAACTTCACATTTTTTAATATTAATTCCAGCCTGAAGTATTTTAAAAATTTTTCTAGCAGTAATATTTTGAACATTGTTAATACTGTTCTATATTTGTTCTTGTATGCCTTGTCAATCTGTACTAAACCATATTTCCTTAATAAAAAAAAACATTATTTTTTTTTAAATAGTAGACTGTTTTTATAGTACTGTTTGTTTTGACTATTCTTTATTTTTATGGGCTAAAACATTCCTTGATCGTTTTTTTTCTAATTACTTTTTCAACAACTCTATAAATATTTATATATATCAATATATATCATCTGTTTATCTTTACATTCCTTAAGGAAAGGGCACTCTTGTGACCAATATTCATCAGGGCTATGAATGAGCCAATCTCTTAGCCTCCAACTCTTATGTATTGTATTGTGGAACACATTCACCTATGTTGGCCAATTTTAAAAGAGAAAATAATTGTTTTCATGAAAAAGTGCATTTTCAATCTTGGAATACTCTGGCCCAAAATCGATTTGAATTTTGTATATAGAAGTCATTCAATAGAAACTGTTTTTAAAGGCTATAAAGCTATAGTTGCTCTATTTTTATAATTTTCTATCCTACCAAATTTTGGTATTCAGATTGTATCAATATATATTGTGTAAAAGAATAATTGTATCAATATATATTGTATAACAGAATAATTGTATCAATAATCTGTTTATTGTTCTGTGTTTTATAAATGTTATCTTGATATTTGAATGAGTAGGAGGATAAATGTTTTTATTAATTTTGAAAACAATGTATTAAGAAAATAACCTTGTGCCCAATTTGTTTTTGTATGATTTGTTTATAAATAAAATAATTCCTTTATAGATCAAAAAAGAGGAATATGAGAATGAACAATTCATTTTCTTCATTGAGCTTTGAAGGGCTTGAAATGGAAGGAATAGTGAGCGTTAGGAGGCCTGGGTCAGAAGCTAGGCCGCTGGTAGGTGGTGATCGACTGACAACGGTACCAACAAGAACTGATCCCAGTCCTGCACTTATAGCACTCTCCAATTGGGAATTTATTGAAATATTACTCAAGGTAAGATTTTGTTTTCTGTCAAACAATGGAACTATGTAATCAGGAATAAATTGAAAGGAGTTCTTATAAATGTGCTTAATTATCTATAAATTATATTTGATTAAAAAAAGATTTACATGTTATTGTAAAGTAACGAAATATATATATTTTAAGTGTATACGGAATTGCTTAATGTAACTTGAGTTAATACAGTGCCAACAGCTAGTATTATTAATCAATAGACTGTATTTTTAATTTTTATTTGTAATTATTTACGCATATTACTAAACATCAAATCTAAATGGTATTATTTTAATCAAATACAACAAAATTGAATTATAATTTCTATCTGATGCGATTCCAATCAAATATATCCATATTATAATAGTTGACTGTAGAGAATAATTGAAGAGAAGAATGATTGGAGTGATCAGTCAAAAAAACAAATAAATAAATTTATTTATTAATAAAAGTAAATTTATTTATAAAAATAAATATATTTATGTATTTATAAAAATAAATATTGAAGGAAGTTAGTCGAAGGACGCAATCATTATAAAGTTTTTATTGGTGCCGACGTTTCAACCCAAAGATGTGGGTCATCATCAGGGGGTGTTTCGAGCACTGAAATTATTCCAGTACTCTATTTTTTTGGGGTTGTTTTTTTATAGTTACAAAATTGTGTTTATTGGCTAGTAATGAAATGAACATATAAACATCTATAATCAACATAATCAATATAAACATAACATAGTTTGGTTAAAGGTATACAATAGTTAGCCAAATATTGTTTACAATACAACAATTGTAATGGATTGAAATGGTAAGTAGTATAATATATTATATGATGTTTTAAGAATAACAATATTGATCATGAAAAAATTTATTATATTAAGGATTACATAGTTCTAATAGTATAAGTATAAACATATCTGTGCCTGTTTATAGTGCATATTTATATTGAGAATAGATGTTATATGTGTATCTTGGTAACTAGTAGACCGATTTTGTTTCTTCTTTTTTTTATTTTGTATGATTAAAAACACTTTCAGTCTGTTTTTTGAAAGGTGGTGGTGAAATCCTCTACAAAACTTTATAAAAATAGTTCATTTAGGACAACTATTAATGAAGATACAGCTATTCAATTTCTTATGTAAGATTATGAGTTAAAATCCTGGTATCGGAAAGGGAAGAGAGAAAAAAGATAAATAACTGAAAGTAAAAAAAAATTAGTGTCCGCAACACACAAGTTTTACTATTTGTTCTACTTTTTAGAGAAATTATAGTCTGACGAAATAAAAAAAAAAAAAGTTTTTGATTAGCAATATTAGAGTGTATTGAATTTTTTTACACTGATCTTCCACAAGCCGATTTATAATGCTTTAGTTTATCAAAGAAATCATACTCAAATCTTTTCTGTGATCAATTTTCAGGAAAATAAATATAATTCAATTTTTTTTCTTAATGGACATATTTAAAGATATAAACATTTTTCTGAAATAGGTAGAAAAGTCGTGTGAATGGACACATCAGATTTTTTTTTATTACAATTAATTTAAAATATTTGCGAAGTCAAATATGTTAAGAGTTCCTTCTTTATTCTTGAATCATCAAAAGTCTATATAATTGATAAATTAATTTTGGATTTTTTTGTGCAACAGGAATGTAAACAAAAGACTAAAAGAATGCTGGTCGAGAAATTAGGAAGTGAAGCTCTTGCTATGGGGCATGGAGCGCAAACATCCTTAGTAGAAGAAAATACACTGATAGCTAGTCTCTGTGATTTACTTGAAAGGGTCTGGTCAAATGGTATTCAGAAGAAACAGGTATTAATTTTAAAATAGTTAATAATTTAAAAGTCTTGTTGAAAAAGGTGATAAATAGTTTTATGGTAAAAATTGAACTATTGCTATAAATAAACAGTGCAGCTAATCTGCGAGATGATTACCCAGTATTTTGTTTGCCTAAGCTTAGGGTTTCCCAAAAATTAGTAGGATCCATATCAGCTTCCTAACTTAATTTTTAGTTTTAAAATTATTTTAACTATGTTTTTTTTTTTGGACTGTTTTATTATTTTTGAACTTTTTTTTTAAAGCTGATTGTTTATGAGGTTATGTTGAAATGTAATTTCAAAACTCAAATATAATCATTGTAAGTTCAGTTTAATAATTTTCCCTTGTAGCTCTAAACAGAAATTTAATTTGTAATCTCTTAGATGAGCTACACCAATTGAGACAAATCCAAACATGTTAGGGTTTGTATTGTGCCCGAGCAATATTATTAATATTTTTAGCTGACATTCACATAAATTTAATATTTGACCCTGAGTTGATAAAGGTGCCAATGGAGGATAAACATGAGTTTTTCTCTCTCTGATTTCTGTAAATTCAAAAAATGTTACTTCTTACCTTCATCTTCATTTTCTAACTTTAAAAAAGTTATGATAGGTTTCTTTAAAGCACTTGTCATTAGTAATTATCATTACTAAAGATTAAGTCACTTGATCAGAATTTGTCTATCTCATTGGCTATCTTTCAAGGGTCCACTTTTGAAAAAAATCTTACCAGGGTCAATTTTTGAAATCTTGAACTTAAAGGTAGATTTAACACACTTACGCATTTCTTCTTTAGAAAGTAATTCCACCATTTAAAAAGAAAAAAAAATGCTAAAAACATCAACTTGTAACTCAATTTCAATTTTGTTGACAGATGGACAGTTTTGATATGAGGCTACTCTCATATATAGTTTTTCTTTGATCAATTCATCTTGGTATATTTTTAAATACCATATCATAAGTTATTACAATCATAATCACAATAGTCTTTGACTTAGTTGGTTTTTATTACTTAGTAGTTGGTTTTTATTACTTAGTGTTATTATTGAGTTCATAATAATGATAAATTCTGATTGATATCCTTGAGGTATTTTTTATTAGGGGAAATCTGCATTGTGGGCACATTTAATGAATTATCTGGAGCTAGAGGAGTCCACTGATACAGCAAAACCAATCGACTCAAACCATCTAGGTCCAGGTATTATTATTTTTGTTATATATCTCACTAAAAAAAAAAAAACACCTCTTAATGCTCAGCATAAATACTAATTTCTATAGGGTGTATATAACCAAATTTGATTAACATTTAAAAAAAATATTGTTATTTTTCATAATGTTTTCATCTAATGTTCCTTGTTAAACAATACATTAATCTTTTATTTATTTGTTTATTTAATTATGAACACAATCAATATTTTTAAGTTATAAGTTATTACCAGTTTATTTATGTAAAAATTTTGCTCATTTTTAGTTAAAGTAATATCTTATTGAGGTAATTTTTAACATGACTTTTTTTCAATCATACTGATATCTAAACTCTGTTTTGATGAGGGAAACCCATGATGTCTCTAATCAGGTCTTATAGGATAGTTTCATCCTCTAATTACCAATTATAATTATGTCAAATGATTAATTATCTAATCCTTTAGCTTTTTTAATTTTATAAACACTTGCCTTTCAAGTGTTCTCAAACATGAAGGGCTTTGATATTAATGCTATGACACAGCTAGAATATTGTTAGCTTATCACTCATGCAAACTTCATCACCACAAACTGCTCTATGGATATAACTAAAAATATTTTGATCAATATTCACATTAAGCTGGTATAAATTATTTACACTGCTCCAGTAAATGCAGCCTTCATCTTTTTTATATTTTTGCCTTGCACTATCGTTAGTTTACGTGTGTGTATATATGTATGTATGTATGTATATATATATATATATATATATATATATATATATATATATATATATATATATATGCATATATACACACTACTTATTTTTATTTTTAAGGTATTTATTTTTTACAAAGTCTATTTATATTTTTTAAGTTTTTCTTTGAGTTAATTTGGTGAGTATGCTTTTAATAATGTACATTACATGCTTTTTGTTTCTGTTTTATTATTCACATGATTTTTATTTTCAAAAATATAAATCAGGAAAAATCCTCAGCAATTTAACAAATAGATTTAGCATCGCTTTCAATTTCTTTTCTATAAAGCTCTTGTACCAGACCAGTGTTTCTTAAGTGATATATTTAACTGGATGCCCTTCTTAAAAAAAATTAGGTGTTGATCAAAGCATTTCTTATCCATTTTTTTTAATAGATTTTGTCAGTTCTCCTTGTCAATCTGATTTTTTTTTTTAATTTCAAGGATATTGGGTTATTTGGAATAATTTGGTCAGTGTATTATGAGGGCAAGTAAAAAAGTAAATGGAAATTTGGATTTCCCTCCGAATCAAGTATTTAGAAGCACTGTTCTGCTATAACTCATAACATCTATCAGCTGTTCATTGAATGTACTGTTTCATTGTTAACTGCTTGTTATTGTGTTTAAAAGTCTGTTCAAAATTCATTCCCCTTTTTCTGGCTGTATCAAGGAAAAAATACGAGGAGTGATACGTTTCCTCAATTCAGAAGTTGTGAAAACAGCAGAGATTATTCATCAAATGCAGCCGCAATTTGGAGAGAGTTGTTTGAGTGCAAGCAAGATTTACAAATTTATTGATTGCTTTAAAAGTGTTAGGATTTCTCTGTGTGAAGAACAGTGGAAGAAGGCCTGGTAGGTCATCCACTTCAAAGAATAATGGCATTATTGAAACAGTTAAACAAATGATTCTTAATAATTGATGAATTACAGTTGATGACATTGCAAGTGAATTGAATTTAATGAAGGTTCAGCATATTGAATCATCCATGATTATTTAAACTTTCCAAAAGTCTGTGCTTGCCTAGTTGGACGTCAATTGACCAGCATCCACAAAAGCAGCATCTCAGAAGCATGTGGAATAATAAAAAGATGAAGGAGGCTCATTTCTTAAGCAAATAATAGCTGTTGTTAATACATGAGTCCATCACTTTGAACCTGAGAGTAAGCAACAAAATTAGTGTGTTTGAAAAAAAAGTTCAAAACTCAGACATCTGCAGAAAGGTTATGATTATGATATTCTGGAATATTACAGTTTCAATTTTGGTTGGCCTCAAATCTAAAGGTCAAATAATTAACAGTGACAGTTATTGTGAGCTTCGGCATTTATTGAAGTGAAAAATCAAATCCAAAAGATGTGGTAAAATTTCAAAAGGCATGATTTTGCTTCAGGATAATACTTGTCCTCATACAGCCAAAAATACAGTTTTCTATGCCTTCAAAATCTCAGTTTTCAGCTGTTGAATAAATCATATAGTCCAGACTTTGCTCCAAGTGATTTTCATCTTTATCGATCTGATGAAGAGATCATTGAAGCATTGCAAAATTTTCTGGAAACCTTCCAGGAAGGAATCCAAATGCTCATTACTAATGTTTCATTTGAGGAGATTATGTTTCAAATGAATGCTATGATCATTTATGTTGTTATAATAAATAAGTAGATTTTGTTAATTCCCCTTACTTTCGGACTTACTCTGTTAAATTTGTGAATCAAATTTTGGGAGTGTCACCTTAAATTCTATGATCTTAAATGTTTTTTGTTATAAAAGTAGACATCTTACATCTATACTTTCTTATGAGACCTTGAACATTTTTTAGGTTTTGCATAGGATATTATTTTTGGCAAAGATAGCCTTACCTATTTTAAAAAAAAATAATCCATATTTTGTTAATTGAAATTCTCCTTTAATTAACACCTCTCACAAATGTAGCATAATCTAAAATGTCGGACTAAATTATCTTCTCATATCATTTTTCATAGCAACCCTCGTATTTTTCTTTTAACATTTTTAGTAAGAACTATTTATTTGTAAAGTTAATTGAGAGTCTTCAGTTTTTATAATTTTTTTTCTTTTGTTACTTTATTTGGAATATAATAATGTTTTTTAAAGATATAAGTCCGTGATATTTATTTAGTTGAGAAACCCTGGTCTGGATGATACTTTGGGCCTAAGTTTTTTGCCCAAGAGAATATAATGTGTCTTATTAAGTGTTTTCTAATCCTTTATTGTTTCTTTATAACATAATGTTTATGTTTTATCAGAATTTTGTAATCATCTGATAAAATTAATTTATTTTAGTTTTTTGTTGATAGGTTTGGTTACCTGTTCCAACTAATAAAATTTTTTTTTCTATTTAATAATACCATTATTTTTCTTATTAACAAAACTAATTATTTTTTATAATTGTTTTCTATTTACTAATTTTTAATAAATTTATTTATTTATTAATGAATCAAATTGTGAATTTTAATTAACTACATCTAACCAACAACTTGAAAAACTTCATTATCAGTAAAATGATAAAAGTAAAGTTTTTAAAAGAAATATTTATATAGTTTTTCTATGATCCAATTGTTTTCATCATTTAAAAGATTTTTTGCTTATGTTTCGGAGTTTTGAAAAGTTATAACAAACTTGAAGTTATAATTATTTTTATAAAGAAGTTTAAACAACCCTTTATTTATAAATATTTAAACTTTTTTTAAAAATTACAACCACCTCCTTTGACGATTACCTGTTTAATATAATATAAATAAATATTTCTGTTACTGGACGCAGCACTTACATGGCATGTCTGGAAGAAAAGAATGGACTGTACGTAAACATCAAACTCTAATTGTGTTTACAAAGTGGTTGTTATATTATGTCTATGTAGATTGTCTGTTTTTGGAATGGTAACAATCATTTTTCATGTATTGCATAATTAACATGTTAAATTAATGCACTTGCTAACATAAATGCTCATGCCAACTTTTATGCACATGCTTTTGCTTTGGTTTTAATAGTTTTCCTTTCCTCTATGCACATATATTTTGGGTTTCACATTGCTTTTGGTGTCGGCAGAGCCAGTTAGAATCGGATTTCATGAAAAGGTTTTGTCTTCAATAAAATCAACCAATATCATGGAAATAGCTTCATTTATTACTAATAATCTTGGTGAGTGCTTCATAACTGTTTTTATTCATTTCATTATTTATTTATTTTATTATTTATTTACTTTATAATTATTAATATTAATATACAGATCATGACAGTATGTTTATGTTATAATAGTTATAACGAGAGAACCAAAGAAGTACCATCAGAGGGGATAGTAACTTTGGCCCAATGAATGATTAAAGACTTTTTGATCTATATCGATCCTATATCTTAATTTTATATAGGATAATTTATATATTTAGGAGCTTTACTTATCAGCTCAAGACATTTATTTTAAATTATTTTTTTAAGTTAAATGTTTGAAGAAGGAAAACAATTTTTATTTAAGATACAGGAACTTTTTAAAGGCTACAATATACCACAGATGGGGAACCTTTTTATCATAAGAAGCCACAGTAATCTTAAGTAGTGATATTGGTGGCCCCAATAATTCTTTATATTTTAATGTTACTATTTTTATTTATTACTTATACACAACCATACAAGTATATATTCAACTTAATTTCCAATTTTTTGCAACCTAAATAATTTCAGTGTTAGATTAATGAAGACTTAAAAACGTTTGGAGGCCGCAGATAACTCACGGAGGCCACATGCGCTCCTGAGGGTGCAGGTTCCCCACCAGTGTAGTACCTATCACTATTAAAACTCAAATGAAAAAATTATTGTGATTTGATTGAAGTTCGGAACTAGTTAACATTTAACCAAAAGAAATAAATTTAAAACAATTTTGAATAAACACATTAAAATTAAAAAAACTTTATTTTTCTTACCTAGTACCGTTAAAAAACAAAAAAGACATGAAATTATAGTTTAATGAATGAATATAATAACCATTGTTTAATGAAATTAGATATAATTGCAATCTAATTATATGAATATAATTTTGTTTACGTACAAAATCTTAAAATCTCATACAGACACAAGAATTCTCATATGAGCAGCAACACCGGCCATTTCTAAACAAAGAGAGTGATTGCAACTTACTTATTACAAAGCCAATAAATTAGTGAAAATCATTATAGTCTACATAACCTAGTTACAGCCTATAAAATCTTTCTTATTTGTTGAGATAAAGTTACACCTGTTGACAGTGTATCAAGTATATGAACTTATGATAAAGAAGTTCTAGAGCTAAGGGATCCAAGTAATAAAATGTAAATATTGAGTTATTTTCATTTCAAGTGTTCTTACTGTTGGAAATACCATTTTTTTTTTCTTCAATATTTGACTAATTAAAAAAAAAATAACTTACTTGTAAAATATATTTTTAAAAATTGACTTTTTTTTTTTGTTCTAAGATTGTTTACTATTCTCAATTAAAAAAGTGTGGTGCACAACTTTCATTTCAAGTGTTCTTACTTTTGGAAATACAATTTTTTTTTTCTTCAATATTTGACTAATTAAAAAAAAAAAACTTGTAAAATATATTTTTAAAAATTGACTTTTTTTTTTGTTCTAAGATTGTTTACTATTCTCAATTAAAAAAGTGTGGTGCACAACTTTCATTTACCTTAATTTCATTTTTTTTTTCAAGTTAATAAATCCTAAGAATAATACTTTAATTATAATTATAAACTTATGACAATTTTGTGCGCTAAATTTTTTTAGTTTAGCTTAGCTATTTTTCATTCAATAACAAACAGTAATAATAAAAATAAAAATTATTAACAACAATTAAATTCATTTGATGTCTATCAGCCTCAATTATCTCCTATGATTTTATATGTTATATATTAATTTTTAAAAGAACATATTATCCTTACTAGTATTAATATTATCCTTACAAGTATTATCCTAAGAATAATACTTTAATTATAATTATAAACTTATGACAATTTTGACATAAGTTTATATAAGGATGTCTGTCAGCCTCAATTATCTCCTATGATTTTATATGTTATATATTAATTTTTAAAAGAACATATTATCCTTACTAGTATTAATATTATCCTTACAAGTATTATCCTAAAAATAATACTTTAATTATAATTATAAACTTATGACAATTTTGTGCACTAAATTTTTTTAGTTTAGCTTAGCGATTTTTCATTCAATAACAAACAGTAATAATAAAAATAAAAATTATTAACAACAATTAAATTCATTTGATGTCTGTCAGCCTCAATTATCTCCTATGATTTTATATGTTATATATTAATTTTTAAAATAACATTCTTGTGATGTGTTATACTTCTATATCACTACTCTTATTTCCAGAAATTTGTTTTCAAATTTCCAAATTGGGATAATTTTGGGAAACTTTTCAAAGTTTTAAGATGCTTCTATCTTTATTTTCAAAGTTAAAATGCTGAAAAAATTATTAATATGTAAGATCAGTCTTCCATCTACAAAATATGGCAGGACAATAACTCTCGAAACTAGAATATTTTACCGCAGTCCCAAAGTTAACCCATCTTACGTTATATAAGTTTTGACTTTTTTTTTTAAATCGTTACCAGAGGTTGCTTACAAATTTATATACAACATATCAAAGAAAAAACTAAGAAAAGAGGTCTTTTGGTTGAATTTAATACATTTTGATTTTGTTCCTATTCAGAAAAAATTATTGAACTTATTTTATTGTAATATTAGGCAAAAAAAAAAAAAAATAGAATATATGAAAGATAAAGAATATGTTCATAAATACGCTAATGAATTCATTTAAAATCCTGTCCAAATACAACACGCACATATAAATACCTTTCTTTGATGTATGTATAAGGAGTGAATCACGGTTAAGGTGACCAGATTTTAGCATTGGTAAAGCGGGACACCATTGACTGGACCGGAGGGAGGGGGGGAAGGGAGATAGGGAATGGGGAGGAGAAGATGGTCACAATTGGTTGTGCCAATGATTAATTTTGCATAATGATAATCATATGACATAATATTCAGCTGATCTAAGGTAAAGAATTTAGTTCTAAAGATGTATTTTTGAGAGCGAATAATTTCATGATGTTTTTTTATGTCTAATTTATGACTTCAATAATAACATAGTTGTAAGGACTTAGATGTTTTATGCCAGCAGCTTGTACACAATCAAGCAGCTCTTTTTTGAAATGTTATAAAACATATATTGGAGGTGACAGCATTTCGGTAATTGAAGTAGCAAATGAAGGTAATTTGCTGATGCCAAAGGTTGAACCTTTCCTCATCAATATATTTTTTTACCAGTGATAGCTTATTAAAAATATAATTTTCTGGTTCTTAATGAAGTCCAAACAATAATAGTTGAATTCTAACAAGTGATCAACATTGTGAACTTTGTTAAGCAGTTCTCAACAATTTCGTATTATTATAGTTCATCATTATAAAAATACAAAAATAATATAAAACTCATATCCTGGCAAAATGGCTTATTCTCTTCCTATTCTCTAACTTGTCATGCATTCTTTCCGAAAATCGAGAATTTTCCAAAACGCCTGTGGGGCATGGGATAAATTGTTAAAATACCAAAGCGGGACATTTGGTCATCTTATTCATGGTTCAAGATTTTTAAACTTTCACACAAAATTTTGCAGTTCACCATCCACACTGAGCCTACAGTTCTGAACTGCTTGCCAACTTATGTTCTACCTGTTGTGGACGGGGCTTAATAGAAACAATTGCATGCTTTTATTTCCTAAGTGGCATGATCAAGCTGAAATTATTTTGATCTAAGATTTATTACTGTGTATATACACTTACGTCTGTATTATGTTAGATTATGAATAAATATAATTTTAACTTATAATGGTTTCTAAGTTTTCATTTCCGTTGTAGCTATTGATTCTCATGTTATATTTTTCTTTCCTTAATTATTAATGTAGCAAGCAACATTTTCAAGTGGCAAAAGTTATGCTCTGTGCTTTAAGGATTTTGTTTTATATGAAACTGATAATGAAAACGTTAGAAATGAATGAAAAGTCTTTATATTATGACTGTAAATGTTAAAGTTAATATTATATTTAATGTATAGTAAACATTAAATTGAGTTAAAAAAAAAAAAAAAAAAAAAAAACATAAACTAAAGTAAAATTATGAATTTTATTCAGTTTTTTCATGGTTCAACATATGATAGTTTAGTTTTTTAAAATAACATATTCCATTCAATAACTTATTAATACTTGATGACTTTGTAGATTTATCATCAGGATCAATTGAATCAAGCCCAGACAACCGCTCATCGCCTAGAAGCAGGTCTGAGAGTAGAACTAGTAATACTCGAAGACTGAGTGAGGATTTTCAACAAGAGCCAACATTAAGGCCACTTCCAAACACCCTTGCCTACGATTTGAGGTAGCTTTGAAGTAATTAAATATCTTATAGCTATAAAGCTTAAAAAAAAATTGGTAATTACCAATTTATCAGATTTAACTTGGACTAGTGAACAAAATACATATATCGCCAGTTTATTGCAAAAAGTCTCTAATTGCATTTTTGATCTAGACTAACTTTCAATTATTTTTTTGTGAATTTTGACCTTATTTAAAGATTATTTTTTTGTGAATTTTTGCCTTATTTATCTATAAAAAAAAAAAAATTAAGTGCATGAAAGGGACACAACCCTTTTATTTATCAGATATAGTTACAGTACCCCCATACCAGACTGAAACGACTAGAAACCGCCCGACATTTTCGACTACTGCAGCACTTACTAGACAAATGCTCTAAGCTTTCAATAAATTACAAACGACTCATATATATGACAATAATAAGTCCTATTTGGGCTTACGGAATTGAGCTCCACTAAACCATCAAATTCCTCTCGTATCCAATCCTTACAATCCAAAGTCCTTCATAAAATCCTCAATGCTCCTTACGTTGTCACAAATAAAATCATCCATAAAGACCTTAATGTTCCATATGTTTCCGATTTGGCCCAATCCAGATACCTATCCTTCCATAACAAACTGCAGAACCATCCGAACCCTCTCGTTTCAAACCTTGCTTCCTCCTCAATCCCTGATGAACCTCCAAGGCATCTGAAAATAAGATGGCCTCGAGACCTTCTTATATTGAACTTTAATTTGAGTTCTACCAATGGGTAGTTTCTCTTCATGTTGTGCATGTCATGTTACCAATGTCACATTTACTTGTTGTATTTTCCATATAATACAGTTGTAAATTTCATTAAAATAAATAAAAAAAGTTACAGTAAGTGCATAATTTTCTGATTTAAAATAGGGACAATTCATCAAAGTTGTTAATTATTGTCATAATGAGGTTATGAAATGTTACTTAATGAATTTTTGAAATAAACCAACAATATGTTTGATGCACGTGAGCATGCTTTTTACTTGTAATAAATAATCTTATGGGTAAGTTGTTCTTTTTAAGTGAACTTGATAATAAGTTTTTATTGGTGTCCTCTGTCATGACTGTCTTCTGTATAGATGCATAATTGTCATTGATAAGTCGGGAACTCCTATTCTCAAGAAACTGATTTTGAGTTTAGCTGAAGTATGTAATTATTCTGTTTCATCAGCCGTGGATCGACTATATGGTTAGGATACACTCTCCTGTGCCATACCCAGCCTTTATAAAAAGGCTTAATTAATGAATTGATTAAGAAAAAAAAATCTGGTAGCTGAGCGTGATCTGGCCCAATCACCTCCCTGCACAACCGTTGACATTGAAACAGTACGTGCTTACAAAGTTGTGAATGCAAGATCATTCATACCGGCTCATTTTTTTACCCACTATTCATTTCAGCCACCTGTGTCTTTTTAGTATTGACATAAATTAAGTTATTTTACATAACTTATAGTTTGTTTTTCTTTTAGTTATATAATCCTTATAGGTTAGGTGATTTATAAGCTAGCAGGAATTAACACTCTTCTGATTCTCCTGAACCTTTTATCAAACACTTTGATTTTAACATATCCATTCCACACTTCATAGTCACCTTCCCTCAAAAGATTGAAGAAATGAAAATTACACAGTATCCTTGATTGACCGGAGATAATATAACCTCTCGGACTAGTCTGAGGTACTAGAAGTTACTCCCTCCCATCTGCAATTTCAACTTCTTTTAAAATGTATCAGCGCTCCAATAAAATTAATGTAATGAAATTAACTCTTTACAATTAAGAAATTTATGAATTCTATATGCTTTTTTTCTTTATATTATTTATTAGATCTTAAGTTTTTATTACAATTCTGTTTTCTATCTTCCTCTTTTATTGTTTTAGGAGTGTTCAGGCTATGACTGATATAAAAACACATGTTGGATATGCACGTGCCTTTGTTCGATTATCATTAGAAAAGAAGATGTTATCAAAACACCTACGAACATTATTGTCTGAAAGTACTCTGTTGAGGTATGACCTACTCTTCTTAAACTGTTATTATTATTTATTTTTTTTTTTTTATCACATATCTATAAAATTAATCTCATTTATGATTATTATTTAGTTTTATCTTTTTATGTTATAATTACTCTTACCTGACTGTAATAATTATATAATAAACTCCCAAATATCTGCAGGTTGGTTTTCCATGATACAGATTTCTATAGTGACTTAAATCAAAAATGGTTTTGCTTATATAAGTATGCAAAATGGTGAAACAAATCAAACCATGTGCCTCAGTTTGTGAATAGTAAGATGTAATCAAGATTTACTTGTCAAACTTATTAAAGTAAAATCTGGTGCGGGTGGACGTCAACTTTCATCTTTTCCATTAGTTGATTTAATCAAAAAAGTTGCTGCAACATCGCAGAGATATACCTTCTTTATATATTTCTTGTCAGTTTCTTATGACTTTTAGCTTTTGATCTAGACTGTTCTCTCTCTCACACACACATACATTTTTTTTTACCAAATAGTAGTTCTAATTAATTAAATTTTGTAGGTCTCAATATAAGAGAACTGCTTTTCTCCGATGTGAAGAGGAAAAGGACCAATTTTTATATCACTTGCTATCATTAAATGCTGTCGATTATAACTGCTTCACTAATACATATTTAAATACTAGTAAGTTAGCTTTAATTTTCAACTATCGCCTATAAATGTTTTCTTGCTTTCTTCCCAGTTTGCCTAATTACTTTGTAAACATCATTTAAAACTTTAGAAAATTATTATTTGTAGGAATACCTTATCGCATCGCTATATATCCTTCAAGAAAAAATAGCTTTTCCTCTACTACAGCCAATTGTTGGATTCAAGTTTATGGTTCTCATGGAGAAACTCAAAGAATACCAGTGCCAAAAGCAACACTAGAATTTGTCTTTCATGTATGTACTATTTAACTTCCAAATACTTACCATTTGCTTATTATTTATTCACATTTTTTTTTATAGCATAAAAACTTAGGTTATCTTACTACTACAAGAATCGGGCATGATAATTCTGGTTTAAGCCCTAAATGGTTGGTAGAATACATTATAGTTAGGAATGAAGTCACTGGTCATACATACAAGTGAGTTTTTGGTTATCTATTATTATTAAAATTTGTTTTATTGATCAAAAAATTATTTTATATATAATTTCAGCTTTCCTTGTGGCCGGTGGCTTGGCAAAGGAATAGATGATGATTCTACAGAGAGGCTACTTGTTGGGGAGCGAGAAAAGGATCGAGATATTGATCGTGGAAGAAGTAGTAGGGTCAGAAGTCCAAGTGTACCACCTCCAAAGAAAGTTTTACCTCTTAGTGAGATTGAGCATTTGTTAGGTAATTTATTTATTATTATTATTATTTATTAATTTATCGGACCAGCTTTCAGATCTTCATCTACATTAAGCAAAAACAAGATAACTATTCAGTAAAATTGAAGTTTATAATATAACAAAACAACATGCTCATATACATTTATACAAGTTGGTATTAAAAACGCCACTTTTGAATTTTTTAAACCACTCTAAGCTCAGTGGATCACCCAGGGAATGCTCAATGTAATCTTCAACAAGCATTCAATTTCACAGTTTTAAATGGTAACAGAAAATTAAAGTTTTCTGGTAATTGTAGTCGAAGGCACAAAACTCGACATGTTCAACACTATAAAAATGGTACTGTTTCTTATAACTTCTCTTGTTGTGAGTTCAAAATCTTTTTCAGCTATCTTAGAAACAAAATGTGGGTTACATGGGGTGCCGAAACAATATTGGGATTTCTACACAATGGCAACAATGGTAACTAAATTAAATACTAGACCCATCTATGGACGAATTATGGTTTCATATTTACAAACAGTATGAATAAAACATATCCATACTGTTTTGGTTTATTATTTTCAATAATGAACCATTGTGTTCGAACAAAAAATTCAAAAACTTAACCTCCTCTCAAAATTTGAGCTTTTATGTTTCAAGATATGTAGAATTCGAAAAACGAATAAAACTTTTTTGTCCGTCTGTCGTCCACGCATTTTCTCTGAAACTACTGGACAATTTTTTTCAAATTTGGCTTTAAAATTAGAGGTCACCCGAGGATGATCAACATTTCTATCTGCCTTTTCCTATCAAGATGGCGACCGAATAACCTGCGTTGCTGTAGACTGTAGTGCTTAAACCAACTTACCGATTTCAATGAAACTTCACTAAAGTCTTATTCTCGATTCCCTTTAAATTTATCTATATAACATACTTCAACGAAAAGGAGCTGGAAAAAAAGTTACGAGGGTTGGTAAAATTAGATTCCGAATATCTCAAAAAGTATATACTTTTTTGTCGATATTGTGATAAGATGTTTCAAAGGTATTTAAATTTCTTAAAAAACGAAGAAAGTTTCATTGAAATCAGAGCACTATTAGTGAATTTTTGTCCATCCGCGCATTTTATCCAAAACTACTGATTTTTTTATGCTTTATTTCATATAGCATAATTTTCATAATGTTTTTTTCATCTTATTAATTTATTTCTTTATGCTGTTACCTTATTACTGTTATATTGTTACTCTATGTACTTTTTTTTGTTATACTGTCACTCTCATTTTTGTTTCTCATTGGTTGATGTTTTTCCTTAGTTCTGATGATGGCCTAAACTTTGGCACATAATGAAATAAGTCTACTTATTTGTTTTTAATTTCAATGACATCTATGCCCCCAACCAAATTCTTCTATTCTATCTACGGCCAATAATATATTCACCATTATTTAATCTATTGTTTATTAGCATATCACCATCCTGATAGAACAAGGATATACAGCACAATTGATTTAAAATGAAATTTGTATTCCTTTTTCAAAAATAGATGGCATAAATTTAATAATTATTTATTTATTGAAAATGTTATGGTAAACAGTTCCTGCATCACTACATTTGAGCCCTATTGTGCCACAGAGTCTATATTCTCTTGTATCAAATTTCATAGTTTGCAGTTAGGTCTCTATTCTATTGCTGTGGCTATATGAAATGTCTGTTTTGGTGGCAATATTAATAAAATATGAGTGAATGCAATAAAATAATCAATTTTAATAAGTAAATTATTCATAAATCAGTAGTTATAAATTAGAAACATTCATTTTGAGGTGTACAAATTTTTCTAATGCTCCTAGATTATTTACTTTGTACAGTGATTAGCCATCAGTAACCAGTAGAAAGGGAGCTGTACATTCTCTGTAAACAAAATAAAATATATTCCTAAAAGTTTTGGTTATTGATATCGTTTCTGGAAAATGTAATTCCTCGATTTCTTTAGTTTTAAAAAGTTGTTAGGAGATTAGATGAAGCAGGAATTCCTTTTTAGCTTCCTTTCTCTTTTTTATTTTGATCTTCAACTTGAAGTTGGACCAAATTTAGTGTGATTCTTTCTTTTTTTATAACTACTATTATATGTAATTTATTTTTAAACTTATGTAAAATTTGAATTATAAATTTATAACCATACTTTCTTTATTATATTTACATTAATAAAATAGATTTAAAGAAAATTAATAATTTAAATTTAATATTATTTATTTAATATATTAATATTAATTAATGAACTTAAATTTAATAATTTAAAGAAAATTATTAAGTATTTTCTTTTTAGGTGACTGTGTAAATAATTTAGTTAAATATTTCTACTGTGCTCAAGGAAAAGAGTCTAGTAGCTCTCTTACTATGCTGTTATGTGGTGATACTGGTCTTGTAAGTTGTTTGGAACAAGCATTTTTATATGGATTTAAGTCATCTCGTCTTTTTGGTAGAAATTTATACATTTGGGATTATCTCTGTAAGTTATCAAGTTTAATATGAATTTATATTTTCAGTTACACCGTTTAGATTCGAAGCATAGATTTTTTTTTCTTTTTTTTTTTTAGTGAAAGTGAGAGAAGATAGACCTGACAGTTTTGCTCCATATGAAGAAAAAAATATCGATTATAAGGCAATTAGGTACTATTTTAGAGTCATCGATGCTATTATGAATTCTGGTCAAAATTTAGGAAAGGATGGGAGATTTCAGATATTTATATGTTTTTGTGTCAGGTAAAGTTTATTTATTTGTATTTATTCATTATTGACCCAAACTGTAAACTTATATTTTAATTATTTTCTCATTTCAGGGATCATATGCTTCAACATATTATTTTCAATGTTCTTGCTACTTCTCGAATTACTTTGGAGATGTTTGAAGAAAATTCATTTTTTCGTGACCAGGATTTGTTAAGTTACTTGATTCATATTTTGAGTTCTTTAGATGAATTCAATTTTTCTTTAGAAAATTCATTAGCTCATGGGATTACATTTTAAATTTATTCAAAGTTTTAATGAAATGTTTCATGTGAACATTTTTATACTCTATGAATTCTGTAAGTATGAAATTACCTAGTCGTAAACAGAGAATATTTATTTCAAAATGTCTGTTTTTGCTATTACTACGTATTCTACCTGAAGCAGAAACAGATTTGTTGTATTTGATCTGATGATTTTGTGTATAATAATATTAATAATGTAATATATTTTTACTATTCTATAATACTCATAGCTGTATGTACCTAGCTAATCGATTTTTTGACTGTTAAAAATGTTTATAGAAATTTACTACAAGACATTTAAGAATCGTATTTACCCTGATTATTTGTTTATATATATATATAAACACATTTGTTTATATTCAAATCTAGATTTAAATAAGAACTGAAATATTGTATTGAAATGATTCATTGTTGGTACGTAGTTGTTCAAATTATTTTATGATAAACTTTTTCTTGCCCTAAAAGGATTTTTAAATGTATAATTTAATTCTTAGGTTTTGACTTCCTTATATTTTTGTTTCTTTTAGGTGAATTCAATTTTTAAGATTCTGAAGTCTTGCATAAATATTTTTGCCACAATATATTTTTTTTTTTTTTTAAAAAAAAGAGATTATATCAATGTTGATTCCTGTAATTGTAAAGTTTTTATTTCTTGCCTTTCTATATTTTTAAATTTGGTACAAATAAGCTTATTATTTCTTAATAAAGTGATTAGATTCTTCGAGATATTGTTCTATTCTAGTTTTGAGGGCTGTCTGCAAGACATTTGTTTTCTTTTTACTCAACTTATAAGGTTTATACCAAATCTCATTAGGCTAGGCTCTTATTTTGTCTGGGTCTTTGGTTAGTAGTTTGTTCAATAGGCATTGGTCAATTCAATATTACTATTAAATGTTTAACATTTTTCAATTAGAGGTATACTTATGTTTTAATATTAAAGGTATTTGTTTTCAAAATAGTTTTAGTGCATTTTTGTTTTATTTTATTTCAAGATGAATTTTCACATTCTCCAAATTTGTTTTATCTTTAACTATTATGTTCTATTTAAGATACAGTCCACAATATGGGTAGTAAATGAGTAATTAAAACATCTATAAAACAAAAACAAATTAATTATATAAATTGATTTTAACTCTCCTCCTCAAACATTGCCATATTAAGAAACAGGTTAAAGCAACTTACAAGATGAACTGCTCCTCTTAATGTTGCTCATGCTTAAATATACTTTTTCTCAATTTTTAAAAAAAAAATGTCTGGTTAAACTTCTTGATAAGCTAAGCATTTATCTTTGTATCTTGATTATTAAAGATATTAACTGTCATATTAAAGTATTATGTTTATACAGTTTTTATTAAATGTTATTTCACATTTGATTTGGTTGTGTGGATAATTTTATTGCATAGTTTTTTTTCTTAATAAGTTTTTAACTTTGATTTGTAAAAATGTTCTGTATGTCATGACTATTCTCCGATCCATGTGCTGGAATCGGTTTCAAGATGTTCCTCTAGACTAGAAAGTGGTCATTTAAAGAAATAGAAACTAGCAGTATAAAAATATGATTTTTTTTCTTGGATACTTGTCTAACTTTTCATTGCTTCAACATTTCCCTCTTTTCCAATAAGTAACAGTTGTATTTTAATAATAAGTTTTAAACATTTTTTTTTTATTGTTCTTTTAAAAAACTTAATTATTCTATTATATACATATGTAATAACTGCAACACTTTAACAAGTTGTCTTTGATAAGAAAGTTATTTTTCTCTTACGATCTTTACGTTTTTATTTTACGTAGACATATTTATTAATCAAGTAACCTTATTTTTCAAAATCTAGCTATACTGCCTTTAACTTTGTTTTGTTTTTTTGTTGAATTTTAATGTCCTATAAAAAAAACCATTAAACTTTAATTAAATGCCCTCAAAAGGTAAGAAAGAAGTTCTAACTTTTACCTTTAGCTTTCAAAGTCTACTACAAATTTAAAGTTATTTTCATTCCAAAACTAGAATTTAAGCTCTTGAAATCATTATACCAGGATAAAATGAAATATTTTTCACATTACTGAAATGCAATTATCTCTTGTATCCTTGTATTATTTTCATTTACTTTTTAATTCATTTAAATAAATATTCATGTCAAGTCCTTTTATGATCTTGAAGTACCTTGCTGTGAACTTGCGTGGCTTGATAAATAAAGCTCACACATAAACACATTTTGATTATAATTAATAACTCTCTTTGTTAATTAGTATCCAATTCTTGGTTTTCTTTCTTCGTTAGAGCAAAGATTTTTTTCATTTAGTCTTCATTTGTAATTAATTTACTTTTTTCTGATTGTTGACTATTTTTCTCTGCTACAACAATATTTAGGTATTTTACTTATCTGAATTGGTTTAAAGTTAAAGTTCTCATTAGTTAATATGTTTGACACCTAGTAGTGTGGTTGTCTGCAATTATCTATCTTTAAAACTCATTCATTGTCTATTATGTTTAGTTTTTTCATTTGCACAACATGCTATAATACATAGTTATGTTCTTATACGGTATATCAATGAAAAATAGTTCATTTTATTCTGATATAAAATTATAATGACTTCAAAAGCATTGATTGGATTTGGTTTTATTATAAAAATAACTTGTAAATTAATGATGACTTATTAAATTAATTGACAGTTTATGTACAGGTATTGTTAATAAATTTTTCTATTAATACAATTAAAAAACTAAATAGTAGCTTAAACTAATAGGTTAAAAAAAAATCATAACAGAGAGAGCGGAATTAGTTTAATAATTTATACTGTTTATTAAAACTTATATAATTACGATCAATGCATGATTCAAATATTCTAGGGTCACAAAATAAATTTTTCTAGCTGGATATGCCAATTTAGTTTATTCAATTTTATATATTTTTAATGAATAGCAATTTTTTTTGGTCTTTTTTGCTTAAGTATCACCAGTCACTTTTAGTAAAATAACAGTTTTTATTAAAAGAATCATATGTCATAAAAGTATAAGTATTTTATTGAAAATTTATACAATTTGTTAACTTTGAGAATAATATTTATTCCAAATATTTATCAGTATTATTAATCTTCAGGAGATCAAAAGTTTTTCATTGCCTGTAATATTACTTGTAATCTCCTCGAGAACATTTTCTTTTTTTTTTCTGTGTAATATTCCTTTCTTCTTATCATTTTAATGCCCTTTATTTGTGATGAAAGAATGTTATTTAATTTTAAGAAGTTCATGTTTTTTTTAAATTTCATATTTAATAAAACAATATGTTCATAATTCATTGTTTAACTTCATTAATACAATCGTAATAATTTATTAAATTATGCGTATTTGATAAATCTGAAACAGTTCCAAATAACTTTCAAAAAAGTAACTGGCAATACTTAAGTGAATAAGACCTTTTCTTTTTTTTTTTTTGTTTAACACTCTTTAAAATTAAAAGATGCTATAAATAATTTTGAATGGAAGTATTTATTGTTGAACAGTATGCTACATCAGAATTATAGAAATGTGCAATAGAGAAATTTTATTAGAATGAAATATTAGTGCCCTTGATAAAGCTGGGAGTTTTTAATGCAATTACATGCAATATTAATTTAAAAAACATGGATACGATATAATAGGGAGCAAGTAAGAAATAAACATGATATTCAACAAAATAAACATTATCTTGTTCAAAGCGTTAGTATATTTTAAAATGTTCGGCTTCTCGATTGATGATTTTTTTGGTAAGGAGACTAACTGAATGATAATTCTTAAGAAAATTAAGGCCCCGTACAATTGGAGGAAATATAAAGAATACTAAATAGTCACTCATCTTAACTATCAAAAGTTCCTGAAGAACAAAAATTCCGATCCTGTCCAACGAGGTCCCATTGATGTGATGTTCTACTTCAGCTTCTTGTATCTACAATAGATCTAACTGTACTATAGTGTCCTTTTGCATTATAATATGTTTGACAAAAGATGCATTTTTGTGCAGTTAGTCAAGTATGGACAACTAAAAATGTCAGGCTAATTTTTTATGCATTTATTTTTATTTTTAATAGTCGGAGAATGGATCCATTAATGAGTAATTTACTGAATGAGTTTAATAAAACTGAATTTAATAATTTTAATTCTTTGATGTCGGGGAATTCATCTCTAAAAAAAGCAGATCATATATTCAAATTTTAAGATACAAAATCTTGTTTTTCTGAACACTAAAGAGTTATTTATATTATTCAGGACAGTGTTGTTAATATATTTAATAGGTTATCATTTTCATGTTTGTCATTACTGATTAAGATGGAGAACAAATGGAGCTATTGGTCATTTTTGCCTATTCTGACAGAAGATGCTGTTCTTTTACTCATAACTTCGCTTTTCTTTTTTACTATTATGTCCTCTAAATAAGAACTATAGTTTTTGGATATATTTAGGGAATTTCTTTTTAAGTTTTCTATTCATCATTAATGAGTATTAAAAGAAAATATCAAAATTTTTGTGAGTGGTTATTGTAATGCTGAAATCTCTTTTGGACATAAAATTGTATTGTTTTTCATCTTTTGGAGAAAAGGCTTTTATACGAGAGAAAGAAATAAAGATGTTTTTCTCTGTTATTTAATTATTATTTTATTTTTTAATTACTTTGATATTTCTTGTTAAGTTGGACAGTAATTAAAAGTTGCTATTTTCCATCAGTTTTAAGTTAGAATCCATGAAGTTGATTTATCTGATGTTAAATTATTTTATCATACAACAGAGTACATATTTTAAATTTCATCAGTTTAACAAAATTCTTCATTTCTAGAATAGAACTATCTCTATTTTGATATTATTTTAGAATGTTACGATTTCAGAAGTTTTGGCTATTAAGCGAAATGCTTAATATTTATAACCTTTTAAGTCACACCTCACAGGCATGAATTTCTTGCTGCCTTTGATTCTTAAGAAAAAGGAAATTTGAACATAGCAGTTTCATTGTCCTGAGAATTATGTTGATTTATTTTTTTTATAAGTTTGATTATATTTTAGGAAATATTTCAAAGTTTTCAATAGTAATTAATTTGTTACTCATAGAATTCACTCTTCCTGGGTCTATCTTGTCTCTTTCTTTTATTTAATCATACATTTTTATAGTTTTCTATTTTCATTTGCTTGTATTTTTTTAAAATGAGCACTGAAAGAATTTTCAAAGAAATGGATTGTTAAAATAAATTTAAAAGATATTAAAATTGCTTGTATACTATGTTATATTTTCAACATGTTTTAAGGCTGAGTAAACAAAAATTTAATTCTGACCTTGCCTTCAAGAAGTAGTAAATATCATTTTTAATAATAT